AGATCTTTAACCCTAAAAAAAAAAAAAAAAGGTGAGAATTACCTTTGAGAAAGGGGGAGAAGGCTGACAAAAATGAAAACACGCACTGGTGCCCACAATAGCAGGACTTAAGTAAATTAATCTTCATTCCCACTGAAAGCAATCTGATGTCCAGGGACTGGGAATTATTCTACCATAAAATACGGCACATTAAATACTACAATAACCCATTAGAAATGTCTGAAGATAATGATTATGTCACCTACACATGATTGTACATATAGTTCTATTTTAATATTCATTACCGGGGGTTCTAATGCAAAATATGTCAAAATTGTAAAAATATTACGTGGGTCAGAGATCAGATCAAGCAAATCAGGAGCCATCCTGTGACGAAGAGTAAGACTCCAAATGAGATCCGAAAAAGACGCGATGAAAGCCAGGGCACACACAAGATGGGGGCCCTGCCTCTCGCAGGCAGCCCTGCCCTTCCTGGTGCTTTGCGTATAAAGCTCCTTATCTCCAGGAGCTGGATGCAAAGAATGGAAAGATTCTCCCATCCAGCCAGAGAGCAAGTCTCTCCCCTGCTCCTCGAAAAAGCTCATTTTCACATTACTCAGGCTTCATTATGCTAAATCAATATTCGTTTAGTCACTGGGGTTATTGACATATTTTAAAATAAAAGTATACCCTTCAGCTACTGCTCTCATTACAGGTCATTTGTCTTGTCAGAGAGCAGGGAATATTATCCTAGTCTTTCAGGGGCTGACAGCCCATGGAAATACCTCCCCATGGTTACAACTGTAAATAATTTTAAGGTAAAATATTGAAAAATCAATGACTGTTTCCTGCAATCTGTCACAAACAAATCAATCATAATCTGCACTGCCAGCGAGTGTGATGGGAGGGAGATGGGAGCAGATGTAACTCCTGGCTGGAATCTCTCATTTCAGAATCACTTCACATAATGGTGTCATCATTTAAACACTTAACAGTCAGTGCGACTGCCACTGTGACATCCAGTTGGACAAAACCACAAGGAGGAGGAGGAGAAAATGCCATCACTGTTATGTTAACAAACATTTAATTTAAATGGTCGCTGCATTAGGATATTTTCCTTGAAAACCGTTCTTACCAGCCCCCTTTCAGAGTTCTAAATTAATCAAAGCTGGTTTCTATGTACTGATGCTTAATAAATTAGCCTGTGACTCCAAATTTCACCCTCTAAAGCACACACACCTTTTATTTTAAAAGTCCATTATAGAGAATAAAATTTGGAATTAATAAATAAAACATTTGGAATGTAGAATAGCCATAATTCTATCTACATAACAAAGACCAAAAAAATAGTGTCATAGATGTCAAGATTAGACTTTTAAAGTAGGTTTAAAGGTCTCCGTTGCCCAGATATTAAATTTTATATTTTCCATCTATTAATAAATATTACATTTTAACTCTGTAATACTGTAGAATATTTTAAGATGACCAGCAAGACCTATTAGTTCATTCAAAAAGGCCCTGGCATTCCATATACAAGCTATTCCACAGACTTGTATTTTACAACCTGGAGGAGTAACCCAAGTACATGAAGTGTAAAAGTTGGTCGAGGTTATAATACTGAATTGTTTTGCAAATGTAGGTAATCACTTGGATATCCCCATTTTTCCAGGCTACATTTTAACAGCTCCCTCGGCTGTTTACTACCGAGGCGTGAATAAAAGAACCTGAGATTGGTATATGTCTCCCTTCCTGTTGTGTTAACCAAAAACATCCTTTGAGTTCAAGATTAAACAGGCTTTCCCTGAAGGTTTTTGTTTTTAAATGTATATTAGCTCCTTTAATGGAATAAATTAATTTTAGTCACTGCACTGCTTACCAATTTCCTCATTATATAATTAGACACCACGAAGTCCTTTACAGTTCTACTAATATTCCTGCATAGACCCAGCTCAGGGAATAGATATTTCTGATGACCAGAAAAGTATATAATTTTTCTTAAAAATGAAAAAAAGGCCATAAACACCCTTACACAATTGAAGCCTGTCTAACCATGTTTAGATGCAGGAATTCATCCTTGAGAAGCGGGCTTTATGTTTTGAATTTAACCTGCACACTCAGTGTGGTAGCGCAGCATGAGAAGATAGCAGCTCTTCTGATGGACACAAACTGAACATCTATTTGCTCTTCAAGAATCTTAGCTTCAGGGGGGCTTAAGGGGGGGGAAGGAGACATATGTAAAACTTTAGACAAAAAAAAAACAACCTCAGCTTCATTCCTTAACACCGACATTAGTTTTTTGAAAATGAAACAGCATGTGAATACATGGTCACAAACATCATCCAGAAGAAGACAGAGTCCCCTCCCCATTCCCTGTGAGTCCCTAGGACAGCTGCAGAGCCAGCAGCCAGCCAACCTAATGAGAGAAGGAGAGCATTACCCGTGGCCTGGGATTATGCAAACGAGGGAAGGGGACTGAAAGCTGTGAACTGGGAGGAGAACCCATGAGCTTGAGCTCCAGAGCCCAGAGTCTGGGCCCAGCCACCGCCTGGCAGAGCTCTGGAACCCGCTGCCCAACACCCAGTCCCCACTCAGCCTCAGGCCCTGGCTGGCCCTGGCTGGCCCTGCCTCAGAGGAGGCCTGGGAGCCTGGGAGGGACATGAGGCCGGCTAAGCAACCTGCTAAATGGATCCACGTCAACGACAAACTGAAATGATATCTACCAGCGCTGCGCCGCCACCACCGCAGACCGAATTCTCAGAAAGACGCTATTTTAAGGGTGCTGAGTGTGCCCCGATGAGATGTCTCCGCTCTCCCAGCACAACCCACGGCCCTGGGAGAAGCCGCTCGGAAACTTAGCGCAGGAAAATCAGATCATTTTCATATCTCAGATGGAAAGAAATGGCTGTGGGCTAGATAACATTCTCCTGTGCCATAAGGCTCGGGATGATGGGGGAAAGTATTCTTTTAAAATAAGATACTCTTACCTCCCTATCTTCAGAATCTCCTCCTTCCAGGAGTCGGTACGGCCGCTCCTTTATGAACTGCAGATTCTTAAAAAGAAACACAGCAATAGTTAGCTCCGTCTTCCCTTCTGCGACTTCCTTCTTTGATGGAATGACAATTTAATTACCAATACTTCAGCCGATTTTATTAGTGACTGATACGTTTCTCCAAGAGCACACCCCCGCTATTTCCACTAGAGAACATTTACTGCAACCTTCCCAATTAATCAGCCGTAACCTATTACTGTTGAAGGGACAAGTTTTCTTAATATTCTCAAAAGAGTGGGGAACCTCCTCCCCACACCCCCCACACACACACACAAATACCTATTTTATATAAAAAGAGTCTTCGTTTTAATATGTTTGAATACCCTTAATATGCATGACGTATGAAACAATATATTTGGGCTGACAAACAGATACAAAACTCAGCCAATTCGCATTCATGTTTAGGTTTTTCCTATATTTATCTTTAGGAGAGAAAAAAAAAAAACACAACCAATCCTCTTATCTTTTAAATTCAACAACTCTACCCAGAGGTTAAAAAAAAAAAAAAAGCTGAAAGGCAAACAAAGAGAAATCAGAATGCTCACTGCTTCCCATCTTCTCTCTGTGTGCTGTGTGTTCTCTAACTTGCTGTAATGCCTCAGCTCTTGGTCAGATGTGAGAGCCCATGAGGCTTCACCAGCGATGGGGGTTCACCGGCATGTTATTTAAGCACAATTATGTGTTACTTTGTATTACGCGAAAAATCACTTTCATGCCTTTGAAAGTCTTCACAGAGAAACATTTGTTCTGCTGCAGGCTCTGCTAACTACAGAAGCCTTCTGTAAAATTAGCTTTTTTGGGGGTCACACAACCATCTCTTTTTACTTAACAAATGTTCCTTATCACTAATTCCAGTTCCTTGCTCTCCTCACTAGACAACACAAATATTTGGCAAAATATTTTTTTTTCTCACTGCTTTTCTCACCTACTTGTATTCAGCAGCTCCCATTTTGACGAAAAAAAAAAATGACATTTTACACATAACTGTGTACTCTTTGTCATTTAAAGAGTTTGGTACTCATGACTGGAGCGGATACTCCCACTAAATTTATTCCGAAAAGAACTGGGTAATGAAAAAAATCAAAAACTGCAATTTGGTAGAATCAGATTATTTCCTTTCGATAATCACTCTATTATTAAAAAGTATAGCATTAGCCTTAATTTTTATGAAAAGCACTGAGTTTATAAATTTCACTACTCAACTACATCATTAAAAATAAATTATTCAGCGGATTTCCATGAAGCAAAAAATGTTCTACTTGCTGAACCTTGGTTGAATGCATTAATAAAATTATATAACCAAAGGCCTCAAGTGACATTCTGTACTCCGTCTCTATTAGCAACATAAATACTTTGGTAAAACCAACACTGATGCTATCTGGGGTTTACTCCACACACAAGCACACTGTGCAGACACTCACTTGAGGATGAGCCTGGGGAGATGCAAGGACAAAGTCCAGCCAACATCTGGAGGAACCCCAGGGCTCAGAAGTCAGCTTAGCTGAAAACAGCCAAATGTATTTTGGAAGCATCATCCTTATCACCTGCACAGAAAATGGAAATGACTCTGTTTAAGGAAACACAGAAGACCAGTTAAGTACTTTGGGGATATTAAATGTGAATATCTAATTTTCTCCAAGGTATCACTCTCTATTATGGCAAATAAACAAGTAAAGGCCCTATCACGGCGTGGAATGGCATTCGCCTGAGAAAAGCTAGAAAAACAAATTACGTAAATGACAACTGCAGTAGAAAATTATATTCCCTCCTCTTGAACAAACGTTAAGTGCCTCCTTACTAATAAAGGCTTAAATGCAAACTACGTTAGAATACTCTCGTTTTCAATTTTGAAGACTCTAAGTTAATTTGCCAGGCTAAATTGGTGGTTAGGTTTACCCTGGCAATAAAAATACTGCAGATTTATGTAGAAATAAGTCAGGAGAATGACACGTCAGAATAGTGATAAAAGCAAACCAGAATCATTATTGAATAATTCCAAGATGTTACATCTTCTTAGAGGTGCCTCACTTGCTATTCTATTTAGAATGATTCTTTTCTACGAAACAGCTAATAATCACACAAAAAAGATGTTAAAAATGCAAAAGTCAACACAATGTAGAAATTGAAGGAAAATACACAAAGATATTGAGATATTATCGCAGAGTTAAAACATTACTCCAAAATACAATACTGTTTTCATAACCCATAATTCACTCAGGATTAAACAATTTCATTTACTTGAATGGTATCATCCAAAGAAGTTTTAAATTTTTCTTAAGATTCCCACGATGTAAACATACATTAGTGATTACTTGTGTCATTAATTAAAATGAATGACAGGTAATTAGTTCATATTCCTATTTCATTTCTTTTAACACAGCATATCAAATTTTAAAATAAGACATGGAAAAGAGCCTGGAGATGCTGACCTTAGCTGCCAGAAAAAGAAATTAGGGGAGTTGGAGGGTCAGTAAAGCAGTTATCCTCAAAAATGAATGCTCTTATTGGGATTTCAGCAAACCAATCTAAATAAGTCTTTGATTTTAGTTTACCAGGTAATTCCAGCCAGCTAATTATCCCTGGAGTCAGGAATGAGCTATGACTGTACACCTGGCTTCTCCGGTCATATATGCCTGTGGCCTCCTCCCCTTTCATTTCCTCTTCCTACAGTGAGTTTGAATATTAAAGAAAAACACTCACACATCTTACATAGACCGTGATGGACAGCCAGCTTCCTGGAAATCATGATCTACAAAGAGAGGGGGAAACCTTAATGCAATACTTATGTCGAAGGGTATTAGGTGCTGGGTAAGCCAAGGGTAATATGATCAACAGCATCCGTCTTGCTATTGTTTTTGCATTTAGAGATTTGAAATCAAGGACGGTAATATTAATTTGCTGGTCACCCAGGTTACGCTTCCGATCCTTAAACTACTAAGAACCTAAATGCATTATCTTCACTTGCTCATCAACTCAAATTTACAGAACCATGCTTTGGGAAAAAAATAAAACAGGTTTTTTTTTTCTATTTCTGGAAATAAAAACAAGGAATTCCATAAGCAATGTAGCTAAGTGCCTGATGACATGAAAACAGTAATTGTTTTAGATCAGTAAAACGTTCTAGGAGAATGCTTTCCAAATAATGAAGTGGCGTAACTGTCTCCCATATTTACCTTTTTATTTCTGCTACTGCACATCAAGCATGCCTTCCTCTACAGATTTATCCCCAACACTAATAAACATTTGCTTAATAGGCTGCTCTCTGCCTTTCTTTCTAAATTAGTAACCATTATTCAACCAAGATAGAGCACAAAGAACGCCGCTAAAGGCATTGCCAAAAAGCCACAAGTCCTACGAGTACATGCCAGAACAGTTAACATTAAACGACCATTTCTCTCTCAAACTTCCCTTGCCAAAGTGCTCACAAAATCTGGAAGCTCAGAGACAGGTTTCAAGTGCAATTAAATTCTCCCAAAGCAAAACTGTACCACAAAAAAAAAAAAAAATGCCGCCCTTCTTATGTCACCATTTTATAGACAACATTTTCTCAGGATCTTAATTAAGATAACGACGCACACCTGTGTCAACACTCTCCGGCAGGACAGCCTTATCAATCATAATCCTTTAAGTACACTCCAAAACAGCCAAGTGATATGACAGGAGCAATCTGCTGCCTTTCCTACTGCGGGTGTCGTGTCTCTCTCCCCCACAAGAATGATGAGACCTTCAGGAGGCAGCAGACCTACTTTTACGAGTCTTTCAAGTTTTCCCTGTAAACACTGATGACACTCAATAAACAGGTATAACCTCTTTGGCACTTGATTTACACCGTGACAGCTCTCTCCAGCCAAAACTCGGAGAGCCAGCTCCGCGGCCCACGTCTTCCCGGGGCCACTGGGGAATCTTATGCCAAAGCGTTTACATGGGAAGAGTTGGGCATAACTGGGACCGGTGCAGGCACGACCCACCGGTAAATCCTCGCAAAGCTTTCACATGAGCACATGGGAAGTCTGGCAGGAAGAACAACCAGGACAGACCGATCCCCTCGTCTAAGTGACAATGTTCAGAAAGAGAAAATGCATTAGTCAGCCCACCCCCCTTCCCTCCCCCTACCCCCCAAAAAGAGCATCAGAATTGGTCGTCTTGGTAACCCGAAAAAAGAGGGCGGTAGCTCCCACCTCTGCTCCGGGGGCGGAAAGCTTCAGTAACAACAGCCCATGGACAAGACTGCTAACAAGCAATAGGCTCCCAGACGGAAAAACTGATGAATAACCTGGGGAAACCGAGGGGGGGGCCGGGGGGCGCCGAGGGGGAGGAGAGAGGAGGGGGAGGTCATCACCACCAAGATACAAAGTTTAAAACGTCACTTCTACCGGTCAAAACCTGAAAGCTTTCACCGGGAAACGGAGAAAACCCGCCCGCTGATGAAGGACCTGCCCTTCCCTTTCGCGTGTGGACACAAGTCTGTCTCCGCGGCCGGCCGCGCGCCCAGCCGTCAGTGTGCAAATACAGCGGGAAATAGAGACGTCCTTAAGAAATGAGTCTGAAACTTGACGTGGAGCGGAGGTGACAAGCACAGCCAGCAGAACCAGACATTCTAAACGCTCCCGGGTCTTTCCGGAGTCTTTCTCTCCGGTCCCCGACACCAGAAAGAAGACGGTAGAGGAAGAGGGGGTGACGCGGCGGGGGTGGGGGGACGGCCAGCGGCCCGAGTGGCAGGATGATGTAATGAGAGTGTCGGTGGGACGGCTCAGGTGCTCCGTGGCACACACACACCTCC